CCCCCTCCCCGTGCTTTCTCACCCGCCTTCCCAGCACTGGGCCCAGGGTCTCCGAACAGGCCGGGCCCCGGGGGACCCCAGCCAAGCTTGCAGGTAAGAGGGCAGGCGCCTGGGTTTCTCTACACCGGTTGGAAGAGTTCCGCCCTGTGGGGCACAAGATCAGGTGAGAGAAAGGCTTAACCCCTGCCTGGTGATGCCTCTAGGTGCGTTCTACATGTACCACGGAACTGGAACTTCAATACCGGTGGAACCTCAGGCTTGTAGATAGGGGTTCAAATCCAGATTTGCATACTAGGAGTTAGGCGTCTGAGGACAAATCACTGCGTATGTCTCCCTTTCTCAGGCTACTAGGACTCAGGTCATCAAAAGTCACCCTGCATTAGATTAGTTCATGTATATACGGCTGGCAGTGTAGTAAGAAAGCTGGGAAGATGGGCTGGGTTTTTACCTGCTTCCGCTATTCTGGACCAGTTTGTGGTTCCAGAATTGGAAAAGCACAGAGTCCCCACTGCCCCATAAGCTCCTCTCCCCAAGCTGGTCCAAAACTGGCCTGCTTTCCTCTCAGGACCAACTTACACACTCTCTTCCCTGCCCTTTGCTACTGTCTTGACTGAGCCTATCACCTTTGGCTTTTGGCTACCTTTCTCTTGTGTCTCCACCTTTTGCCCTATCTTCTGCTGGTCAACTTTACTTATCAACCTGACACAACTTAGAATGACCTGGGAAGGCTGTTTCAACGAGGGATTGCTTATGGTCTGTGGATATGACCTGTGTTGAGGGTAGAGAGTTATCTTGCTAAGGGAAGACCCACCCCACTGTGGGCAGGGGAGGGAGCCTTGACCTCGGTAAGATTAGAGAAAGCAAGCCGAATACTCATGCATGCATGTATTGTCCTCTGCTCTTAACTGTAGCTGTGATGTGACCAATTGCTTCAAGCTCTTGGCTTCCAGGCAAGAATAGCTTCTAACCCAGAATCATAAGCAGAAATAAACCCCCTTTTCCTGTAAGCTGCTTTTTGTCAGGGTATCTATCACAGTAGCAGAAATGAAGCTAGAGCATCTCTCATCCATTCCTGAAGATCCCTGGGGGATCGTCTGCATCTGTGCTCACTCTTAACCTGCCTCCACCAACCATGGCCCTGGGAGTAAATTTAGCTTCTGTTCCCAGGGGGGTCCTGGCCAGTGGTGTGGCCTATTTGGTACCAACTTTAGCATTGCTTACCCAGTCTCCCCTTGTAGACCCAAGGATTCTCATGAGGCCACTCTTGCTGCAGAGACTTAGTGCTTTAAGGACTATTCTGTTCCCTGTCACTTGCAGTCTTAGGTTGTCACTGTACAGTCTGTGGATTGTGCTTTAAGCCCAGTGATTGACATTTTCATTAAGTCCTTTCCCTTACTCCTCCTGGGGAGGTGAGATGTAAGTGGCTCATTTGCAGAGGACAAAATCAAGGCTTGTGAAAGCTGTTGTGACCCTGGCCTTTGCTCTCACTGTGCCCCCCCCCCCGCCCCCTGCATTTAGAGCCCAAGTCTTTGCACATCTTGCCTACAGAATGTTGTCAGGACCTTGTCAGCATCAGGTGTGGAGTCTGGAGGAGGGTGACTATTTTAGAGGAGGAACAATACCCTTTGTTAAGTCCCCAAGGCCATCCAGAGCCAGGGCACTTCACTGTCACAGGTCACTCTGTCCTTGTTGGAGCCTGTTGTTGAATACCTGTGTCCAGGTGGCCTTGGAGCCCCCAAGTGACCGGGTTGCTTGAGTCCTACCCATAGAGTTGGCACTTTTTCACCACTCTGGGCCATTACAGACAGTTCTTCTCTGAGCTGAGCCCTGAGCTATTCCTGGCTTAGTCTCTTATCTCTGTGAGGCCTGAGTCTGCCCACAGCCTCCAGGGCCTTAGGTCTGAACAGGGTTGTGAGGTCACTCTCTGAACACCTTACTGAGGGTGTGTCTCAGATGCTCCCTCTGTGGTTGTTGTAGCCTTCACTGGTGCCTCTCTCCGCTCCCTCCTCCCCCGCCAATATGTACATTTAAGAGGGGTGTTCTGTGCAGGGGTTGGAGAGATAAATTCCCAATTGCCTGATGATTAAGCACTTTGAAGGGGATGAAGGGACTGTGAGGGCTGCTAGGGGAGGAGAGACATTCAAATGGAGAAGCCACAGAGTGCAGACATTTGGGAGGATAAGTAGAAAGGGCCCTATGGGAAGGATCCTGGTGGGTGGAGCCCTAGGTGGGGAGGGTCCTCTTTGATTTGATTGTCTTTGGCCCACTGGTACCCACACATCTGTGGCCACACTTTTACTTCCTGGTGTGTGGTACTTGGACATTTCCTGGGTAGGTGTCCTCTTTCATTTCTTCACTGGTTGCTCACCAAGGTTAGGTTGCCAGTGGTTCTAAGAGTGGGCTCCAGGAACCCTGGGTTACTGGGCCTTTCCTGGGGTCCACGGAGTAAGGGCTATTTTTATGGTGTTACTAAAGCAGATTCTCTATTCATTTTCTGAGAAGTGACATGACATGGGACATTGGGGGAGAATTCACACAGAGGCAGATCTGAGAATTCAGATGCATCTGTTAATTCAGACACAGGTGACTTCGCAAAAGTTTAAGACTTTTTCTTTTAATTTGGAGTGATTTTCATAAAATCTTGTAGTTATGTGACTATAGGATTCTTATTCCTATTTTAAAAATGGATACTTGACTATTCTGCTCTCTTTTAAATACAATCTTTCTGTAGTGAAGGGTAAGTACAGTAAATACTGACAAATGGAATCCATTCAAGCCCAAGTTCTTCAGTCCTTTCTAACTGCCATAAAGAATCACAAAGCCAACAAATTTGGGAACTGCTGTTCCCTTGCAATCCCTGTCTGGTTCCCTGAGGTTTGGGATGAAATAAGACAGCTTGTCTTTTAAAGCTAAGTGTGTTTCAGAAGAAGACCTGCTTCTCACATTCATGATATTACTTACATATGAAACAATGGTTCAGGTTGGATGGAATGCTAATCTGAATGTACTGTGTGTGTCTTACAGGGGAGGAGACAGAAGAGAAAGGGAGAAGTGGAAGGAGAAAGAGTGAGGCAGAGAGGGGAGAGGAAGGGAGAGATTCCATCTTGGTTTTAGCAGCCAGATATCATCTGTAACAGAGTCTTTTTTGTTTTTTTGTTGTTACACTGTATCTTTGTTGTTGTTACACAACATCTATATTCCTATTATACTGTATCTTTGTTGTTTGGTACACTGTATCTTTGTTCTTGTTACACTCTTTGTTTTTTACTGTATCTTTATTGTTATCACTTTGTTATCTTTGTTGTCACACTGTATGTTTGTTATTGTTACAATGTATCTTTGCTGTTGTCACACTGTA